TTCTGCTAATATGGTATATATCTCAAAGTGATATACAGCACTGACAGGGAGAATTCACAGTTTCATCTGGATTTGGGAGGGCATTGAGAATTGGGCGCCTACTGGATGCATGGAGGGCAGGTGCAGGGGGAAGGCTAAATGTTAGTGTCACCTTGCTGAAACTGGGGGCTGTGGGGTGTCATGAGTGTGTGTGGGGAGAAGTAGACTGTGTCATGAGTTCTCAATGCTGACAGACAGCCAGAGAAGGGTCTGGTGCTATTGGCCTCCCCTAGAAGGGCAGGGAGATCTCTTAGCTGGCTGAGAAGTAGAAGGCTGGTCAGGCCCGCTCCCACCATCAAATGCTCATGGATTGGGTCTGGCTATCTCACTGGCCATTTCCAAATGATTATCGAGAATTGGGCTTTCTGTTGTCATTTGTTTAGTCATTCAATGGATATTTATTGAGCACCTAAGAAAATGGTGGTGGGGTGGGCAAACATTTCTCTTGCCTTTTCTTCTCTGCATTTCACAAAGCAACTCAAGGTGCAGGGGTTCTTGCTGAGGTAAGCCCCTGGATTTTGTTTTAAGAGGTTTCTCTGCCTACCATCCTTCCAGGTCAATGGAGGCATCTTTCCAAATTGCAGCATGTAAAAGCAAAACTCATTCTTTCTGGCATTCATTCATTTATTCAATTACTTATTCATTCAACAAATTAGTATTACAAGTTGTGCACTGTTCTGGTTTCTGGGGATATAGTGGTGGAAAGATATGCCTGACCTCATGGAGCTTTTATGCTAGTGGGGACAGATAGACCATAAGCAGATACATAATTAAGAACACAGATTAGCTTCAGATACTAGTAATGGCCGCATCCCAGTAGGATCCACTTGATAGCTTGTTTCCTGCTTTTAAAAAAGTGTGTCTTAGTGTGTTCATTTGCTCAGGTCGCCATAACAAAGTACCACTGACTGGGGCTTAACCAATAGAAGTTTATTTTCTTGCAGTTGTGGAGGCTTCAAGTCAAAAGCAAGGTGTCATCAAGGTTGGTTTCTTGAGGGCTCTCTCCTTGGCGAGGAGAAGGCCGTCTTCGTGTTCACAAGGCATTTTTCTTCTATGCTAACTGTATCCTATTTCTCCTTTTTATAAAGACACCAGTCTTATTGAATCGGGGCCCAACAAATGATGTCATTTTAACTTCATTACCTCAATTTATCTCCAAAAAGAGATATGTCCATTCTGAAGTCCTGGGGGGGTTGGACTCCAACATATAAATTTAGGGGGCACAATTCAGCCCATAACACCCTGTGTAGAGAGAGAGTGTGAATGTGTACATGCGTATGCGTGTATGTGTGTGTGTGTGTGTGTGTGTGTGTGTGTGTGTGATTGTAGCAGGGTAGTTCGGTGCTCTCAGTGAAAGGAACAAGAAAACAGTGTTAAATGCACTCTAATCAGAGTGCTCTTTCTCTCGACTGTAACGTCTGATGTGAAAGTCAGACTTGCTTGTCACGTCAATCCCTTCTCCAGCAGGACCTTAAAATCAGAGTTCACGCATTTTCAGATATCTGATTGTCATGCAGCCACGAAGCAGAAGCCCGGGGACCCAGGGCTCCCCCCTCAGCCTGGCGCCTTGATGTAATCAGAGCCTCCTTTTTATCCCTACTCTCGAGGAAGGCCAGCCAGGCCACCTTTTTGATCATTGTAACCTTGATACAGAAGAATAATTTATCCATGCCCCGGATGAGGAAATTGCAAAATATTATTTATGAAGGTGAACTGACGCATTGTAATTCTGGCCCTGCATTTCTGGATGCAGCTGGCCAGAATAGGGAGATGCAGCTGGTGTTTGATGATAAAATGGGACATGGTCCCCATGAGATGGAGGTATTGGGAGAGCATGGAATCAGGGGTCCCTCAGTTTCCAGGGAATGAATTATTCCAGAAGCTGACCCACACTGCCCTTCCATGACTCCCAGTCAGAAGTAGGAGCAGAAAAGGCTCCAGGGAAATAGAGAGACTCTGATGAACACTAGTTTGGGGAAAGATATGGAGGCCTTCCTTTGAGGATTGTGGTCTTGGGAGGTTGTATAGTACAGTGGTTATCAGCCCTGACTTTGGAGCCAGCCAGCCTGGAGTGTGAGTCCTGGTTCTGTTGCTTCCTATGTAGTGGGTGACATTAAGCAAATTAGGTCACTTTTGAACCTCAATTTGTTCATCTGTACAATGGAAATAATAACAAATCTACCCAAGAACTGCCTCGAGACTAACATGAAATAAGATGGATAAAATGTACTTGTCTGGTCAACAGGCCCAACTCCTTACCGAGGTAGCAGTTAAGTTGAGTGATAGGAATGCAGCTCTGTATCGAGATTGCTTGGCCTGGCTTCCCAGCTCTATTCCTCAACTGGCTGTGTGACTTTGAACGAATCACTTCACTTCTCTGAGCCTCCATTTTCCTCATCTGTCAAACAGGCATAAAAATGGTTCCTACTTCATAGGATCCTCTTGAGAGTTAAATGAATGAATGGAAGGAAAGTGTTTACCAGTTACCTGTCTCACAGTAAATGCTCAGTAAATGTTGGCCATTAATATTAACTTCCTAGTATAGTTCTTAGCAGTCTTCCTTTCAAGAAGCTGTTCCCAACCTTGACTCAGATCTGCCAACACTGTCCTATTGAACAACACACTTAATTTTAAAATCCAAAAAGAATTGCAATTCTTGTGTTTTGAAATTTCTTCTAAGCATTGAGAAGTCCCTGAAAGGGGACAGGATGTATATTTCCTGGGAGGGCCCATTCTAGCATCTGTCCGCCACAGGAGAGATGGCAGACCCCCAACATCTCTGATCACCCAATTCACCAAACGGATACACCAACTCCTGAAAACATCACCACACTCTCTCAGGCACCAGCCAGAAAGTTCAGCAGTAAATGTTTTGCAGCCTCTCACCAATTTGGGGTGCTAGTGAATTAGTGTTTGGTATTGAATTAGTATTCATTTTCTCTAATATGATATAAAAGTATAATCACATTAGTGACTTTTATAGGACATTAGATTATACATTTGGAGCACGTGCCTGCCTCAAGCAGCTTTAAAAATTAAAAATAAAAACAGCCAGCAACAATAACAACTGAACCGTCTTCCCCCCTGGCTCATGAGCCCTGGCTTTTTCAGCTGGGCTGCAGCAACCTGGGTAGAAAATTCTCTGCTCTCTGCCTGCTGGTCCCTACAGGGAAAGAATTTTCATTCCACCGACCTGATTTGTGAAGCATTGAATTTAAGACCTTAATAGTCGTTCCAAATGAATGTTTCTTTAATCCCGGGGCAGAAACGTAGGCTGTGGTTGAGATGTAATTAATAGCACTAATTACTCTTCTCTCCCTCCATCTCCTTTTCCTCCTGCCATCAACCCCGTTCCCCAAGAAACCTTGCGAAAGCACCAGAAATATTCACCTTTTGCTTCAAGATGTCCCTGAACAGAGAAACCAGTCACCAAACCCAGAGCCCACCCCAACTTACCTGGCCCCCCGGTCTCCCTGTTGGGAAATATTTTCCCTCTACCTCCCAGTGGTTCCTCCAGTTCTGGGTCTCCTGGGCTTTCCAGGAGTTTAGATTTTCTAGAACCTGTTTCCAACTATCTTGGTGACTCCGAGTTGTGAATGGTGATGTCCTAAGGAAGCAGCAATATATGGCAGTGATGGCGAACCTTTTGAGCTCGGCGTGTCAGCATTTTGAAAAACCCTAACTTAACTCTGGTGCCGTGTCACATATAGAAATTTTTTGATATTTGCAACCATAGTAAAACAAAGATTTATATTTTTGATATTTATTTTATATATTTAAATGCCATTTAACAAAGAAAAATCAACCAAAAAAATGAGTTCGAGTGTCACCTCTGACACGTGTGTCATAGGTTCGCCATCACTGATATATGACCTGATTTTCCTGAGCATCTTTTTCTACCGTGCAGCCTCACTGATGCATTGGTTCAAACATGTGTGAAGTTCCTCACGGGCTCCCTAAGGTCCCTGCCAGCAGATGTCCAACACTGAGGGAACCCAACAATAGCCCTGCTGGGTTCGAAGCTCAAACCATTTTCCACTACAAAATGTAAAGGACTGCAAGGTTTTCTACACATAATGAAAGGCAACTGGTTGAGAGAGCTAAAATGATTTATTTGTACACTGTCTCATTCCCAAATAATTAGAGGTGTGTAGACCCGCCCAAACTTTGAAAGTAGGTTGCATCTGGCAGGCCAACTCCAACAATTCAGGCTTACTGGAGTACCACATTGAGAAGGATCCTCAGACCACATTTTAGATCAGCAAATGAGTCTCATTCAGTCAACAAACATTTGATGTGCCAGGTACTGGGGCCACTGCCTTGAATTGGGCCACAAAATCCCTCCCCTAAAGGAATTCTCATTCTAGTCAAGAGAGGCTGATGGTGGATTCCAGCAAGGCCAGCTCATGCAGGCTTGGGCACAGGATTAGTCCTTCTTTACCACTGTGGGTGTCTGGGTGTCTGGGCTTGCACACGTGTGTCGCCTGTCTTGGGAGGGTTGCTCTGGGGTCTGAGAGCTCATGTGACTGGAGTGTGGAGGGGCTGGGAGATGCAGGTGGAGAGCAGGGTGACAGGACGCTTTGGCCACATGAGGGGGGCCCAGGTTTTTGACTCAGTGCCCAGGGAGCTGATGGAGGAGTATAAATAGAGCAAAGTTCTCCTATAGCATTGTCGGGGTCCCTGTGAAACCATGTTATGGGGGCAAGTGGGTGGCCTGGAGGAGGCTGGGTAGTGGCAGAGGATGGCTTGGGCTTCCTAGACGAGGAGCCGATGGGCCTCGTTTAATGTGGCAGAATGGAATGAATGGAAATGCCTCCCAGACTCCTGGCCTGAGCATCTGGGTAGATATGGTGCTGCTTCTTGAGAGGGGGCAGAAGCTGGGAGGAAGTGGGGAGCAGGCTGTAGCGCAGGGTTCCTGTTGGCCACAGGAAATCTAAAGCGGCTTTGGCCTCCCGGAAGGAATGTCAGGTCTGCAGTGGGTGTACAAGTGGATCTCAGAGTCCTATGGGCTGAAGGTAAGACCTGGGCAAGACTCCCCGGGGACTCAGCCACGTCCTTTTCTTGGCTCTGAGGCCCTGAGCCAGAGCACTGAGGGCCCCCCATCAGTTATCCCAGCCCAGGCCATGAGCATTAATGTTAGAAACCTATTAGAAGGATGTCTCCTCTGGGGACCCAACCCAAAACCACAGCAGCAAGGAGCTGCATAGAGTTTGGGTGTTTGCAGGGCTGGCTCCCCCAACATTGGGACCCTGGAACATTGGATCACCTCACCAGCGGCTGGGACAGGCTTCCCAAAGGCCAGTTCATGTCACCTTTAGCTCAGAAAATAAGGGTACATTGCATTGCTGAGACAATAATCTCTTGCATGTCTTGGTTGATGGTAATCTTAAAAAAGCTAAAATTGAGCATTTTACTGTGTTGACCCTTAACCGCCCACAGGCTCAGTTAATTCTCACAGCAACCCAAGAGGCAAGTTTCATAATGATTCCCATTGTGTAGATAAGAAAACTGAGGCTCGCTGTAACCGGTTTGGCTCAGTGGATAGAGCGTCGGCCTGCGGACTGAAAGGTCCCAGGTTCGATTCCGGTCAAGGGCATGTACCTTGGTTGCGGGCACATCTCCAGTAGGAAGTGTGCAGGAGGCAGCTGATCGATGTTTCTCTCTCATCGATGTTTCTAACTCTCTATCTCTCTCCCTTCCTCTCTGTAAAAAATCAATAAAATATTTTTTTTTTTTAAAAAGAAAACTGAGGCTCAGTGAAATAGCTGTTGTGCAGCAGTGTAGTACAGACAGGATTTGAAGCCAGGCCAGTCTAACTACAAAGCCCCATTCTCTTAGTGTTCACATTCTATGCCAAATGCTTGCTATATTTTGTCTCTTTTTTTAAAATATATTTTTTATTGATTTATACAGAGAGTAAGAGAGAGGGATAGAGAGTTAGAAACATTGATGAGAGAGAAACATCGATCAGCTGCCTCCTATACAGTCCCTACTGGGGATGTGCCCACAATCAAGGTACATGCCCTTGACTGGAATCGAACCTGGGACCCTAGAGTCCGCAGGCCGACGCTCTATCCACTGAGCCAAACCAGTCAGGGCTATATATATTTTGTCTCTTAAAGTCACAACTACCCTTCATAGGGTGTTTCCATTACAACCATTTTTATAGACAAGGAAACTAAGGCTCAGAGAGAGGAAATGCCTTGGGGTCACACAACTGGTAAGTTGCAGCACCAGACTTTGAACCCAGACCCATGGGGAAGCCCTGAACTCTCTTTTGGAAATGAGCATGCTCCTGGCTACTATTCACTGCCTCCCTGGACTGGCAGTAAAAGTCTGTTACCCCCTCAGTGACCCACCAGGGGCAGAAGATGGGACTCTTATCTTCAGTGCTGTCCTAGCAGCTTCCTAGGCAAGGCTTTGCAAATTAATGAGAAACATCAGAGGCTTATAGTCTTCTTGGAGCTCTGTGGCCAAACCCAGTGAGAGCCTGTTCTGAGAGAGGTGGGTTTATCAGTAGAGCCTGTGCCTGGAGCTGGTGCTCATATTGGACTTGTGTGGCATTAAAGCCCCCACTTCTGGGATGTGCAGCCTTGGTTAGCTCATGGGGTTTGGTCCACCCTGTCCACCGGGTAATCCTGATGGCTCCCTGGGACAGCTCTGTCCATCACAGCACTGATAGACAGCACTAAACAACGCAATAGCAGAGGGAGCCGTATAGGATTCACTACTTTGCTTCAGCAAATGTGTATGTGTGTTTCTTGAACCAGTAGTTGGAAAATCACACCCTGATTTAGACACCTACTTACTGAAGCTTCCTGAAGACCCTTGTTTGATTAGTAGAGCTGTTATAATTATGGGATTTGGGGTCAAGCTGCTGAATTTTAGTTTCATCTGTGCTGCTCGCTGCCTGACCTTGAGTTGAGTGTGCTTAACCTCTTCACTCTTCAGTTTCCCCGCCTCATAGCATTGTTGTAAGAAGCAAACGAGTGCCTAGAACTGTATTTGACATACAGTGTGTATGTTAGTTTAGCTAAGTGTTATTACTGCTATTATTGCTGTCTAAAATCGTTTTTTCTGAAAATGGCCAGATAGTAAACATTTTATGCTTGACGGGCCACATGGTTTCTGTTGTAACCACTCAACTCCTGCTGTTGTAACAGGAAAGCAACCATGGAAAATATGTACTTGAATGAATGTGGTTGTGTTCCAATAAAACTTGCCTATGTTCTTACATGAACATGGTGGGTGGGGAAAGAAGAGTCCTTTTCTTCTGGGAGAGTGTGACCCTGGGGCTGCCGGCAACCAGTTTCCCAGATTACTGAAAGAGCTAGCCATGGCGAGAGAGAATGAGGACAATCAGGGAAGCAGAAACAAAAGTGAGAGATCAAACTCTGTCCATATTGTTTGAGCTGCTGGATCAAGCCATGCCTGAAGCTACCCCTGCACTATTAAGATATAAGCAATGGTTTCCTTTTTATGCTTAAGCTACCTTGAGTTGGGAGTCTGCTGCTTATAGTCAAGAGTGCTGAATAATATTAGCCTTCTCCCTGTCATTGCCTCTCTGCTCCTCATTGTTTTGGGGATTTATAGAACCTTGAAACACAGAGGAATGAATGTAGGGCTCCCACAAGCAATTGGGGGATTTGAATGTTTGGGATTTAGACCTTCTCTACTTAAAGTGTAGTTCACCATGGACTATTCTATTAGCATCACTCGAATGCCTGATGAAATGCTGGGACACAGCCCCACGCTGGACGTCCAGAATCAGAATCTGTGCTTAGACAAGACCTCGGGTCATTCTTGTGAACATTAGAGTTTAAGAAGCTGAGAGGATGTGTAGATGCAGCCAACAGGGCCCCTGTGTCATGAGGGGCTATTTATGGAGGTGAGGACATAGGGAATGTGGGTCTTTCAGCTGTTTTATTAGGGAAGCATGTGGTTTCACCTGTCTGGAGTGGGGAAGAGGCGCGTCTCTCACTGCCTGGGAAAAGAGAAGTGGGAAGGTCACCGAGGTCACAGCAGATAGGATGACAGGAGGGCCTGTAGAGCCAAACCAGAGTGACTTGCTGGGAAAGTGGCCTCCAGACAATAATCGAACAGCGATGGGCTCAGAAAATGCAAGAGTTTGGGGCGGAGGAAAGAAAATATTATTTGTGAACGGGGAGAATTTGAGCCAACTGCAGAGTGTGAGCTTTGAAATCCACACAGACCTGGATTCAAATTATGGTGCTGCTGCAGCTTCTCACTGTATAACCTTGAACAAGGAAATGGATGTCTCTGAGCTTCACCATCCTTGTCTAGAAAATGGGGCTAAAATAGCACTGATGTCATAGGGTTGTGGGAAGATTAATGCAGTAGTGATCAGAGCTGACAGCCTCGGTTCTTAACTCTAGGTGCACTAACATCACAGTGGGAGCTTGACATTGACCATGGTGGGAGGATTTATACCATGGAAATGGTACACATCAGAACTCTCTTTCTCCAGAGACCTGGTTGTTAAGCACTCACCAGCACACAGCTGGTTAAATGACAAGATTATTTGAATGGTCAGGCCCAAGGCTTGGGGGAAGGGGGTTTCTAATGAATATATTACTATTATGTTAATTCTAGGACAATAATATTACTAATATTATATTAAATGTTTTTCATGGTTGGATTTTCTGTGTGTTCACTCTGACATTTACTAGTATTTTAACTCCTTGGATGCCTTTTCTGGTTCCCAGCCCTAATTCTGGATAGCTGATATTGTCAATTAGCTGAGTTCTAGATGGATGAAGCATCTTATAGACTAGAGGCCCGGTACGCAATATTTGTGCACTGTGTGGGGGAACCCTCAGCCCGGCCTGTGCCCCCTCGCAGTCTGGGACCCCTCGCTCCTTACTGCCCGCCTGCAGTAGAGGTGGTGGAAGAGGCTCCCACCACCACCGCTGTGCTCACCAGCCGTGAGCCTGGCTCCTGGCTGAGTGGCACTCCCCCTGTAGAAGTGCACTGACCACCAGGGGGCAGCTTCTGCATTGAGCGTCTGCCCCCTGGTGGTCAGTGCACATCATAGCGACCGGTCATTCCACCATTTGGTTGATTTGCATATTATGCTTTTATTATATAGGATACCAGAAACAAGCATTTATTGAGCACAGACTAAACACCAGGTGCTGATAAGCACTTCTTAATATAATCTTATTTAATCCCCCTAACAACTCTATGTGATATGAACCCCATGGTGTGGATACAGGTGGGTCTCAGAAAGGTTAAGTGACTTGCCCCAGGTTGCACAGCTGCTCAGTGAAGGGGCTGGGCATAGAACCCGTGTGTTTCAACTGTAGAAGCTGTGCTCTCATCTGGTTGATCTGTGGAGATTAAACGTGGGGGGCGACGGGGGGGAGGAAATAGGTGTTTAGGTCCTTGTGGTATGGCTCTTTCCCCTTGCTGGGAGGCTGGTGTCATCTGCTTCACTGATGGCAAACAGTCCAATTTTCTGGGTTGTGCGCTGGCTGTATTTTGATTGGCAAGGGGATATCTCTGTTGGAAAGAAATCTTGGCCTCTTGCCTCTTGGCAGCAAGCTCTTGGCTGCCACGTGGAGCGCTGTTTGGAGGGGGCGTTTATTCTGCAACCTTGTAGCTTCAGATGGGCTGGGGGCTCTGCTAGTCTCTCAGACATACTGGCAGAGAGACCAAGAGAGCTAACCCTGTCATTGAGAAGCCCATAATCACCTTCTTCACTGTTCTCCCTGCTTCTGTCTGTTTCTTGCTGTCCCTCAGGCCTCTTTTGCTGGGACTTAAGGAACCAGTAAGATGACAGTTGATTTGGCAGCAAGAGAAGCAATGTATCCTGTCTTCACAGGCCTCCATTCCCTCAACTCTACTAAAACTTGGGGGGTTTTGCTTCCACAGCTCCCAGTTTTTCTCAGGATAAAGTCCAGACTTCTTGCTTTGGCTTGAAGATCTCTTGTGATATGACCCCTGCCTCCTGCCTCTGCAGGAGGGACTGTATCATACGCAGCTTTTGTTTTTC